CCCCTCCCCCCCCCCTATCAAAATACGGCAAATCAGCTACTGCCACAGACCAGCTGGTTTTAACAGTGTGCGTGTTGCTGCAGCCCGAGTTGAAAAAGAGAGCCAGTGTATTTGTTGTTCTCGATTGGTCATGACTTAATGCACTTTAGCGTGGATAACCAGAGCCGCCGTAAAGATTCACTGATCCGTATCGCAGAGGTAAGTAAATATGTCAACTTTGTGGGGCAAATATTTGTACCCGTTACATGTCTGTGAATAAATATGTTTTAATATAATCAAGGGTTTACAAAAACATCTGTGGCATTTAAAGTCTAGAAACGCACACCCAATAATAATTTGATTCGAAGCCCCCTCTAAGAAGTATTTTTTCTCAACTGTATTATTTTTAGAGGGGAAAAAAAACAGTCGAGTTTCAGCTGTGGAACCACAAACTTCCACAAAAATCTTGTCAGGAATTATTGATATTGAAGCATAGGCATGAGGAGGAGATTGATCAAAATCCTACCATCTGAAATAAATTAAACTTGCACTTATTCAATCATTGTTCTTGTTTACGGAATAGGAAGAAGAAATACTCGTTTTTTTAAATATATATATGTGACTAATTGGTTATTTCAAATGTGACGGTTTATATCAAATGGGACTGTTTATTTCAAATGTGAATGTTTATTTCAAATGTGACTGTTTATTTCAAATGGGACTGTTTATTTCAAATGGGACTGTTTATTTCAAATGGGACTGTTTATTTCAAATGGGACTATTTATTTCAAATGGGACTGTTTATTTCAAATGGGACTAATTAGTTATTTCATATGGGACTATTTCTTTTAAATTAGACTAATTAGTTATTTCAAATGTAACTGATTTGTTATTTCAAATGTGACTATTTATTTCAAACTAGAATAAATGACCCAATGTTATCGGGATAATAATGGTAGGTCCTTTGCGATAATTTCTAACTGCTAATACAAAAACTCATTCCAATTCTTAACTTTAAAAATGTAATGATATTTACGTTTCTAACATCAATAAGTTTTGAGAAATGTTTATCTTCTATATATGTTACGCGTATCCTACATCCTTTCACGCTCCTATACTACGTTTTCTTCTCTAAACATGACCTTAAATTACTCAGTCTAAATTATTACTAATTATATCACTTTTGTCACTAAAGAAATCAATTGTATGACATTTACTACGCTAGAGAAATAATTTAGATTTACCCCTTTTCTTGCTCTTGAATTACAACTTTTTTGTCTCAAAATTGTTCAAAAGCTAATCTAAAATTTACAACAAAAATTTTATGTATGATATAAATATATTTTGTATTACAGGAATTCGATTTATATTGATATCTTCATCAAAAATTTACACATACTTTTGCCTTTTTAAAAAAGTGTACACTATCAGAAAATCGTAACACAAAGAATTCTTTATCTAAGGAGAATCTCGCAATTGTTTTGTACGCCTATATGAGATTTTACTGTCTTGAACAAAAATTAAATTATTGCTCTCATAAAAATACACACCTCTTTACTTTTTGCAAAGGAACAACAAAATATATTTTCATTTTTTTTTAAAGAAACATTAACCCATCTTCATTTGTAAAAAAAAAAAAATTTTAAGTGTGTAAAATTATTGGGTTTTGAGATTCATTGATATACTTATATAAAAGTACACACGATTTATGAACGCCATTGATTTTCTTAATTTGTAAATATATGTTTATTTGCAAAAAGAGAATTTAACATATCTTTTTTTACAAAAATAATACCATAGGATTTAAACATATTGTCATCCACTTAAAAATGTACACAATCCTTTTTCCTGTCTCCGATATGTATGCACCCAAGAAGGCTTATTATTAATTAAATAAATTCCTTTATTTTGGGACGTATCTTGTATTGCATTGGGCAAAATGAACATACAAATACATTATTAAAAATAGAATATAACATCTCTTTTTCGTAAATGTGATATCATAGGATTTAAATATATTGTCATCCACATAAAAATGGACACATCGTATTTCCTACCTCCGATATTAATGTACCCAAGAAAATTAATTATTTATCATATTCAGTCCTTCATTTTGAGGGTTATCTTGTGCTGCCTTGAGGAAAATGAACTTACAAATATTTGTAAAAAGAGAATGTAACATCTCTTTTTTTCACAAATGTAATAGGATTTAAGTAAATTGTCATCCACTTAAGAATGTAAACACCCTTTTCCTATCTCCGATGTGTATGTACCCAAGAAGGTTTATTATTAATCAAATTAATTCCTTTATTTTAAGACGTATCTTGTATTTCCTTGGGCAAAATGAACATACCAAAATTTTTTTTAAAAAAGAATGCATATTCTCTTTTTTCACAAATGTAATACCATAGGATTTAAATACATTGTCATCCACGTAAAAATGTACACATCCTATTTCCTACATCCAAAATATTATCTACCCAAGAAGATTAATTATTTATAATTAAAACATTTTTTAAAAATTTTTGACGTATCTTTTGCTGCCTTGGACAAAATGAACATACCAATGTTTGTAAAAAGGGAATGTAGCATCTCTTTGTTTCACAAATGAGATACAATAGGATTTAAATTCACGTAAAAATGTACACATCCTATTTCCTACCTCCGATATGTATGTACCCAAGAAGGTTAATTATTTATCGTAATCATTTTTTTTTTATTTTGAGAGTTATCTTGTTCTGATGTGAGCACAATTAACATACACATATTTGTAAAAAGAGAATGCAAATTCTCTTTTTTCACAAATTTAATACCATAGGATTTAAATATATTGTCATCCACGTAAAAATGTACACACCCTTTTTCCTATTTCCGATTTGTATGTACCCAAGAAGGTTAATTAATAATCAAATTAATTCATTTATTTTGAGACGCATCTTGTATTGCCTTCGGCAAAACAAACATACTCATATATTATTAAAAAGAGAATGCAAAATCTATTTTTTACAAAAGTAGTACCATAGGATTTAAATATTTTTTCATCCTCGTAAAAATATACATATCCTATTTCCTACCTCTGATATGTATGTACCTATAAAGGTTAATTATTTTTCAAAATGATTCCTTTATTTTGAGACGTATCTTGTGCTGCCTGGGGCAAAGTTACCAACCACTCCCCCACCCAGATTTAAATAAATTTAGAAAATCCTCCACCGGATTGTAGTCCATTCCATACCCAAACTAACATCTTTAGCACTTCGTTCTTATTAGTATGAGGTATAACTGTATTAGTGAATGCTATTTAGCTATGGACTTTCGCCGCACTCATTTACGTAAACCGCATTTTCTTATTAGAATTATATTTAAAGTTTAGTTTTTATTACGTTATAAACTTAATAAAAGTATATTTTTGGAATCAAAATAGGCAAAACATTTTAAATGTAAAAATATACAAAGCAAAAATGTATATTTGTTTTTTAATAACAATTTAAAAAGGAATCAATTGTATTTATTAATTTTACTTTTAAGAAGGGAAAATTCTAATTCAGGTTTGTCACTCGCGGTTATTAAATTTAAAGAAACCTAAGAGTTTTGGCGAAGTAGGCTTTTCCCACTATGACGTCATTTGCATGATTATTTAGAACAAATTAATTGTAATTTTAATTCGCAATATTAACAACGCACTAAAAGACGCACTAAAAACGATTGATGCTTGGGTTTTCCCGATAAATTTGATTGAGGTGTAATTCTTTGTTCATGATTTTTTTTTTTATGTTTTCATAACTTTCAAACACATAAAATGCTTAAAATAGTTCCTTATTTGACACTTTAAATGTATTTGTAATTTATAATAATAATATTTAAACTTTTACTACAATAAAAACGGATTTAAAATATTTTGTGCACATTTAAATTTATTCGATTTCCGTAAAATAATATAAAATAACTATGATTGTTTTTTAAGAATCCAAACGTACTTAAAAAGTTCTCACTTTTGGCGTTATGTGAACCTAGCTCATTCTTATATATAAGGGGCTAACCATTTATTTTTATTCATTTTATGGACCGGTCAAAAATCCATATTTCTTACGGGCATCTTTCCGGGGGTGGGGTGTCTTTGCCCACCGGAACAAATCCACAACCTCCCCCCTCCCCCCCATTTTCCCAACAGATATTAATCCCTAATTTTAATTTTTACTAAACAGTTGTGATATTTTAAAATCTTTAATAAACTTTTTATATCTCTAAACTACTTAACTAATAAATTTTTTTTTTGAAAAATTAAGTCGAAAAAGATGACGGTGTACAGCATTTGAATGAATATGAAACAAAACTATAATATTAAACTAATTTTTCCAGTTAAAATATATTTTTTTTTTTTAAATTTAAACAACTCCCTTTTTTGAGAAAATTACTCCATAACGTTGGAGAATGATGAGGAAAACTAGACAAGGTATTTATAAAAGTGCTTAACGTAAATTCTGGATTAGATCCGTTTGTACTTGAGTGCGTGGTGATCCGTGACAAGAAAAGATGAAAAAAAATATATATTCCCGCTTCCCGGCTTGTGGCTAAAAGTTTGAGACAAGCCCTGGTTGAATCATGTGTCACCTTTAAACTCTCAATGACAAATCGCCAACACCTATCCCCAAATTTTAATGCAATAACGAGATGATCATTGAAACATCAGGCCAGTAGTGTGCAGTTACTTCTAAAAGGACGGCCAACTCTAAGGAGTAAGTTCATAATATTTATCTCTAACACAATTTAATCTAACCATATAATTATCCATTTTTTTAAAACGTTGTCCGATTCTAACCAGATAGTTTTTTGTTATTAAATGACCGTTTCGATTGTGAGTCATGTTTTATTTTATCACATAAACCTGTTATTTTGAACTTTTGCTTTGCATAATGTTTGTTTGACGCACGTACGCATAGCATCAGTTGACGTGCTTATCAGGTTCAGCATCAGTTTTTCCAATGGGGTTGGTGACACACCTGCGTTTCGTGAAGTTAAACAGATGCGTCGCTAAATTTCGATATGGGAAAAAATTTTAAGAGATCAAGTTCAAAGGTTTCGAACAAAATTAATGTATTTTTTAGTGTTATTGTAAATCAAAGTATCAAATCGTGGAAATGGGGGGTTTGGGAAAGGGGGAGGGGTGTTTTGGGAGGGGTTGGGTAACAGTTAAATAACTGCCCTAATGGCAAGATTGAGTTGCCCTAATGTGGTGATTCATGGCGGAGCACTGGATCTCATATACATACGAATATAATAAAATGTTTCGTGACTTTAGTGCTGGCTGAAAATAAATGTTTATAATATGATAATTAACTGCCAAATACATTAATGTAGTGTCTTTAAACATCCTATATATTAATTTGGTATTTAAAAATCGTTTAAATTATATTTACATGATATTTACCTTCCACATACATTAATATAACAAGCTATTTAACTGCTGAATACATTAAAATAAAATGATATTTAACAGCCATATAAATTAATATAGCATTATATACCACACCCAGGTATAACTATTATTAACGTATCCTGCTGTACTAGTCATCAATTTACATTATGTCTCACTTTTACTCCCATTGTACATAAGAAATATTGTGTAAAACACCATAAATTATAAATAACCTGATATATTTTCAAATTTCAATATTTTCTTTTCCATTTGAATTTTACCGTCATTTCATCTCTGAATAATGTCTCCATTTCTAAATAATGTCTTCATTTCTGAATAATGCCTTCATCTGAATTATGCCTGCATCTATGAATAATGCATTCATTTCTGAATATTGCTTATATCTCTGAATAATGCTTTTATTTCTGAATAATGCCTTCATTTCTGAATAATGCCTTCATCGCTAAATAATGTCGTCATCTCTGATTAATGACATCATTTCAGCTCTGGAGAATGCTTTTATCTTTGAATACTCTTTGATAATATATTATCTTCCCTGTTTAGTTATGTTATATTTTGTATAAAATATTCTTTAAAGAATTTCTTACAATCAAGAAATACCTCCAAATTTAACTTAAGAATTTCTTACAATCAAGAAATACCTCAAAATTTAACTTAAGAATTTCTTTCAATCAAGAAATAGCTCAACATTTAATTAAATAATTTCTCTGAATCTCCAGGCTTAGCTCAACATGAATTACTCACCTCAAAGTCTTGCGCAATTTGACAACCTCTTGTACCCAACGGTTCTCATAAGCCTGTTATCTGCATTAGTTACAGCTTATTTCCTTTCTGGCCGTTCTCGCCAACAGCCACCAGGCCCCTGGGTGTTATTGCCAGGTATGTTTATATAGCTTTAGACTGCATTATATACCAGAGGAGCTCAGGTTTCAAATTCAGAAACATGTTGAAGACTAGCTAGAGTACATCAAAGATTATGACTCAGCGCTATTTAATTGTTAAAATAAATCTATAATAAAAGTCCGAAACAAAAATGAGTCACTTTTTCGGCAAAGGTATTAGCTAGATGGGGGTTCGCGCATGGCTGGTGAAGACATTTATTAGTTTGCCAGTGTTTGTCCACCAAACTGCATTCTCCAGACAAATTCCTTAATCTCCTGAAACCAAACACTGGACCGAACGTCGCTAAGAGTGCAGGCAGTCCTGCCTCGCATACTCGCCCTCGTTCCCAATCCCAGTTCCCAGTCGTCGTGCATCTGTGGTACTTGTGATTTTGCTGTCCAGGGGTAGACAGAAGCGTTACATGTGAACAATATGGGAAATGGTTCCATGGTCAATGCCAAAGCATCCACAACGTCTATTACAACCAGCGTGGTTTAAATTATGGCTTGCCGTGGCACTGTGCTGTCTGCTGAAGCCCGAATAGCCAGACTGTGTTTTACCAACATAGTGGAAGAATAGAATCAAACTTCCAAGATTTATTGCTATATCCCTCGACACCAACGGACCTTCAAAGTTTTAAACCATCACACTACTCTAATCCTATGCGCTGCAATCAGCAAGACAAATGGAAACACGGACCAATGCTCATACTGAATGTAAACTTTCAGTCTGCAAGCGGGAAAAGAGCAGAGATAGCCAATCTGATCAACGGCTTAAAACCTGACGTCTTGGGCACAGAAACGTGTCTGAATACCTCCAAAGCCAACGCAGAGGTTATACCGGATAATCATAAATTATTACGGTGAGATAGAAGAGACAAAAGGAGGAGCAGTACTTGTCATCCACGACAGCCTGGACTGTCACGCTGTTCCAGAACTAGATGTTGATGACTGCAAGCAGGCCCAACACAGCAGATGGACCAAGCCTCGGGTGGTTTGAGGTGTCACATCAGAGAGCAAAACAGTCAAAGAATCCGTTCTTCATGTGGGGGGAGGGGTACCTTTCCTGGATGGATCTGGCAGATTTTTGCCCTCAAGCCCAAGTCCTCTACGGTCCTACACTCTGATATGATGGACATCATTAACAGCTGGTTAAAGTACCCACACGAGGGCAAACACACTTCACCTACTCCTCCCCAACTGTCCACATCTTATTCCAAGAATTGAGGTCATCCCCGAGATATCAGACCACTGCATGCCATATTGTAAATTTCAGGTGAGTGCACTAAAAAAAGAAGCAGGTTGTGCGAGACATTCCCTTTGATGACAAGGCAGACTGGAATAGCCTGAGAAGTGCAACGAACGAGCTGAGCTCTCAAATATGCATGATATTTAGGTTAGAGCTGTTTATAAAGTTCAAGACAACAATTATTGATGCAGTGTAGAAATGCATAGCACACAAGACCACCAAACCTAAGACAAATCAGCCATGGAACGGCTGAAATCCGTAGGCTCAGACAAAGGAGAAATCGCCAATACAAGCGAATGATGATGAATAGCTTGGTCTAACCTAAAGCCAAAGAACTGCACGGATCTTGCGGAACATCCTGAACGGCATCGTCTCAGAGAAGGACAATCCGGCCAAGGGTGTCAAGAACAACCGCTTCTGGAGCTACGTCAAGGATAAATAATCATCAAAAAATTGCCCCCCCCCTGAGATTGGAAGGCCTTTGGACGCCTGAACCAAAAGCACAGACAGACATACTAAATCAACAGTTCCACTCGGTCTTTGGTGATGGTAGAGAGGTTGAGTTCCTTCTGAAGACAAATATGATGCGCAGATGATGTCATGCAATATATCCAGATTTAAGAGCAGGGTGTGCTGGCACTCCTTAAGACCATTACCTCCTACAAGGCATGTGGTCCTGGCAACATCAATCCACGAGAGCTTAAAGAATTGGCCAATGGCATCGCTCCCTCGCTGACAATCCTCTTCCAATCGCCGCTATGCACGGGGATTGTTTCCGCCGACTTGAGAATAGCGCATCTGCAAATAAGGGAGCTTTACGACCCTGCAAACTACCGCCAAGTATCCCTAACCAGCGTGTTATTAAAACTGGTGGAGCACATGATAGTAAGCGCATTCATGAATTCTTTAAAAGGCCACCATATACTTAATGACTGTCAGCATGGCTTCCTTGTTAATATATCATATAGCACACAGCTCCTTGAATTTGTAGAAGACTGGAAGACCGATCTGGAGAACAGCGAGCAAATTGATGTGCTGGTGATGGACTTCTCAAAGGCATTTGACCGTGTCAATCATAATTTGTTATTACACAAACTTCAGAGGTATTACATCCAAGGCACTACCAAAACATTCATCTCCAGCTTCCTCGGCAACCAATGCCAAGCAGTAGTGGTGGACAGTACAAGCTCCTCCTTTGTTGGTGTTCAATCATGGTTCCAGGGGAAAACCTCTAGTGTTTGCAACACGCTGGAAAAATTGTGATGGTCATCATTGGAGAACCGGCGATGACTATCCAGGCGTTCCATGATGTACATGATTGTCCATTTCTCCAGTATTAAACAAAAACGTGTCCCTCTCCCCCCTCCCATTAAACAGGGACGAGGCTATAACAGGCATTCTGGCTCATAAAATTAAGAAAGTGCAGGAGCTGCTCATTCCTGCCAAAGACAATCAAGGACTGGAGCAAGCTTCCAAAACGAACAGTTAAAGCGACTACACTTGACTCATTTGCGTCTATTGCATCATGTCTTCCAATCCCAGTTTATTTATTTAGGCATTTTAAAAAAAAAAAAATTATATAGCGCTTACCTTAAAGCTCTAAGCGCTTTACAATTATTAAAAACATGTAAACTAAGTAAAATAAAAATGAGACACTAGGATAGAAACTACTATACTATAGAAACAATTAAAATGGCTATAAAACGAGGACACTTTGGCACGTTTTGGCCTAAACTACAGGAACAGCAAATGAGGCAGGGTAAGGAGGATGCATCACAGGTCATAGGCGGACCTAAACAAATAGGTTTTAAAGGACTTTTTAAAAGTAGACGAGGTTTCACAATGACGGATATGGAAGGGGAGCTGGTTCCAGAACGTGGGACCATAGAAGTAGAAGGAGCGTTCACCGAGGGTCTTAGTTTTCGTTCTTGGGATTGAGAGGGTTCTATTGTCAGTGGAAGAGCGTAGTTGTCTTGTGGGGATGTAAGGAAGCAACAGTTCAGAGAGAAAGACAGGAAAGTGAGGGTCAGTGAACGAGTTGAAGCATAGATTGGCAGACTTGTATTTGATGCGAGAGGATATTGGAAGCCAGTGGAGTTGCCACATGTGTGGTTGAATGTGGTCATGTTTTTTTTTATTTAAAAAATGAGTTTGCATGCTGAGTTCTGTGCCTTCTTAAGTTTGTCTCTGTGGTGTTGAGGAATGCCTGTGAGAAGAGTGTTACAGTAGTCAATTTTTGAAAGAATGAAGTTCCTAGTACTATCGCTGTGTAGCCCTTGCAACCAGTGAAGTAACTTCTTCAAAATCATGCAAAGTTACATCGCGAACCGATCTACAAACATGGGAGCCAGAATGATTAATACATTGATTGTGGGCTCTCAAAATGTAGAAAAAGAAGAACGTTACTTTTTATGTTTTATATAAATCACTTCTGAAATAGAAGCTATTGTTGACATATCGTTCTTTGATTTGTATATTATTTGCTATCTCTTGACCCACTCCACCAAATTCCTTCTCCTCTTTTATCAATTAATCCCGTATTGAAATAGAAAGACAAAAATGCGTCCACATTTTTTTTGTAGGTATCGGACATCTCTTGAGATTCGCCAAGGATCCCGTGGAGCAGCTGAGAACACTAAGAAAACAATATGGTGACGTGTTCAAGGTCTACATGGGGACTATGCCAGTTGTTTTTATCAGTGGATTTGACGTGATCAATGGCGTCCTTCATGACAGAGGGGCCGAGTTCGCCCACCGCCCACCTTCATTCATAGCTGAGAAGTTGGTCAGCAATAAAGGTGACGTATTTGTATGTGTAATTGAACTCTAAATATTACAGATGGAATAGCTATATGACATAAACTCAGAATAGTCAGGGTCTCTTCATGCGTTTGATGGTTTGGCATTTTACTAGTACCAATTGAATGAACTCATTAACTCTTTAGTAGATGATGGCTCTAAGTTGGTCAGCAATAAAGGGGACGTATTTGTATGTGTAATTGAACTCTAAATATTACAGATGGAATAGCTATATGACATAATCTCAGAATAGTCAGGGTCTCTTCATGCGTTTGATGGTTTGGCATTTTACTAGTACCAATTGAATGAACTCATTAACTCTTTAGTAGATGATGGCTCACTTCAGGGTCTTCAGGAAGTTGTGTGTTTGTTGTTCGTCTTTTACATGCGACGATGATCAATTAGATATTGAAGATTGAGTGTAAAGGTGGCGAAGGAAATGAAAGAACTCTAAATTCGATGGTCAGTGTGCAAGTTGCTTATGAGTCTATTTTTGTTTGGGAGCTTTCCCGCATGTACGACACACGTGTTATTGGTGTCCAATGTGTATTGCAGGCAATGCTCATCTTTTCTCCTCTGCGCTTTCTATGTGAGTGAGTGGTATGTTGAATCTCCGAAGAGTGTGTTCCAAAAGTGTGTCTGCCTGTTGTAATGTAAATAAGGATGCTGGCACTTGAGTTTAAGACAAGTTCTACAGGATCTCTGAGTTATTTTTAGACACATTAAATCAAATCCCTTGCTTTTGTGGAAAAAATTTTTTTGGAAAACTGTAAAGTTAATGCATCTAACTGAAAATTTCCGAAGGTTTTCTTAACACAAGCGGCAACGTTTGGACTGAACAGAAACACAACATCGCTAGGACATTGCGGAGCCTGTCTGCCTCTGGTGGACTCTTGGAACAGTACATCAAGTCAACCGTAAACAATTTAACAGATCATTTACAGTCTGTGATACAGAAGGGAGAGGGTGGACAAGTGGACTTGACCCCCGTGGTGAGGCGGTCAGTTTGCTCTATCGCCTTCTCCATGGCGTACGGTCGTCAGCTTGATCTGGATTCTCAGTTGCTGGTCTCGTACACAGACACCCTGGACCAGTTTCTCAGGTAATCAGGATAGAAATTCTTCGATGTTGTAAGTTTTGAAACTTCCATGTCCTTGTAAGTTTTGACCCTCACATGATTTGGTAAGGTTTCACACGCCAGTGTTTTAAGGTTTGACAATCCCAAGATGTTGTAAGGTTTGACACACCCATGATTTGTAAGATTTCACACTCCATGATGCTGTTTAGCTGATACGTCCATGATGTTGTAATATTTGAAACGCCCATCATAATGTAAGATTTGGCAATCACATGATGCTGTTGGGTTTCTGTAAAATGAATGTGTTAATTAAAGTTCTATTTATTTAATTTTGTTTTTCCATTTTATTATTTCGGAAATTTTATGATTGAAAATTATTTCTTTTTTTATTTATTGTTCAACAAAAGAATGAAAGTGACCAAAATAGCCTGAGTATGCAACTTTTTGACCATGGTGTAAAACTAGTGGACATGAGAAAGACACCCTTGTTTTAAGACTAGCTCTATAACAAATATTTAGGAAAAACAAAAATACCCTTTAAAAATACCTTTATACCTCCACTAGAAGGCAGGTTTCAAAGTATGAAAGCGTTATAAGAGCAATAGATTCATTACGGAATCAGTTTAATATGTCTGATAAATATTTCATTATTCTGACCTGATTAATGAACTGTAAAGGTCAAGCCATAACTGAGAGTTGGTAAAGTTCAATTGATTAATTTCCTTCATAGAATAACATTATATATATTTTTTTTAAAACACAAACAAATACATGTTTGTACCTCACAGGTGTCTGAACTTGGCTGTGACGACATCTTATTCATGTTTTTAACAACAAAGGTGTCTGAACCTTGGTGTCATAAAAACCAATTCATGTTTTTACCTTACAGGTGTATGAAACTGGCTGTCACGACAACATTCATCCCTTACATACATCTCCTTCCCAATGACCCAGTAGGGTACAGGAAATGTAAACAGTTGGCAGTTGTCATTGAGATGGACTTTGTAAGGCCAGAGCTGGAGAGACTCGCCCAGGTATATTACACCTAACATCTTAAAGTAGAAAAACAAAGATTCTAAACTGTGCAATGCCATCACATCGATCGAATTTTTCTTCAGCATCCAACACAGTGGACTGAGGTTTGAACACAACCACAGTGGATTGATGTTCCAAGTCAACCACAGTAAATTGATTCTTGAACAAAACCAAAGATGATGGATGTTTCAACTCAACCACAGTGAAATGATGTTTGAACACAACCACAGTGGATGGATGTTCCAACTCAACCTCAGTGAAATGATGTTTGAACACAACCACAGGGGATTGATGTTCCAAGTCAACCACGGGGGATGGATGCTTGAACACAACCACGGTGGTTAGTTTTTATAACGCAACCACAGTGGATCGATTTTTTAACACGATGCCCCGATCAGGCGGAAAAAAAAACACAACAATTTCATCAATTTAAAATCGAAAACGTAATTCATTAAGAATATTAATTTAGTTAAATTTTGTATAAAGAAATTTCGTTTTTGACATTGAACTCAAGTACTTTTTCTATTTGGTAAATAAACTAAAGTCAGTCTACTCTTCATTTGCTCGTCAATAGTTAACAAGTACATCTGAACTTGCGTTCCTATTCAAAACTCGACTGGTGAAGAAAATAGAGTTCACTTCTTCATTGTGGTTTTAAAATTTTATCACATTTGCTTGAACTATTTTAAACTATAAGGCTAATATAGTATGACGTAGTTGAATCATTTATTGTCAGATCCACCGAGAAGCTCAAATGACGTGTGAGAAGAAGACGGGAGAAACTATTACGACGGCTCCCACTTTATGTTATGCTGGGGCTTACATGGACGAGATGAACGAAAAAATCCGGAATAACATCCCCACGATGATGTCTGGTAAACGATAACATTTGAAGTGGGGTGGGATGTCTGGTAAACCATAACATTTGAAGTGGGGTGGGATAAGGGGTAAAGAATAAAATTTGAAGTGGGTGAGATTTTTGGTAAACATTAACATTCGAAGTGTGCGTGGGATGTCTAGTAAACAATAACATTTGAAGCAGGTGGGATTTTTGGTAAACATTAACATTCGAAGTGTGCGTGGGATGTCTAGTAAACAATAACATTTGTAGCAGGGGGGATTTTTGGTAAACATTAACATTCGAAGTGTGCATGGGATGTCTAGTAAACAATAACATTGGAAGTAGGTGGGATTTCTGGTAAACATTAACATTCGAAGTGTGCGTGGGATGTCTAGTAAACAATAACATTGGAAGAAGGTGGGGTTTCTGGTAAACATTAAAATTCGAAGTGTGCGTAATATGTCTAGTAATCAATAACATTTGAAGTAGGTGGTATTTCTGATAAACATTAACATTTGAAGTGTGTGGGATGTCTAGTAAACAATAACATTTGAAGTAGGTGGTATTTCTGATAAACATTAACATTTGAAGTGTGTGGGATGTCTAGTAAACAATAACATTGGAAGTAAGTGGGGTTTCTGGTAAACATTAACATTCGAAGTGTGCGTGGGATGTCTAGTAAACAATAACATTTGAAGTGGTTTTGATGTCTGGTAAACAATAACAATTCAAAGGGTGGGATTCGCCTAAGTACAGTAGCTCTCTGTATTGTGACAGCAGCAGACTGTAATTATTTCCTTTAAACTTAAATTTCAAAAGGCCAAACATTTAAAAACAATTTAAAGAGAGTTTAGAAAAGTATGCAGTGGGAATCTAATATCTATACCAGAGTATCCTGTTTATAAATCTATTTTGTGTTAAATTGAAAGTGTCCAAATTTCAGATTTGTGGGATCACCTTTGTCCACTTCTTAACCATTGCACACACAAAAATGACTTCATTATTGCCTTTACACAGAAGCCAAGAAATAAATCTCTGCTTGAACAATATGTGTCTAAAGGCGTGTAAGAATATAATAAAACAATGAAAAATAATCAAACATATGAATTAGAGATCACCTTTATAGCATTCATCAAATATAATATGAGCTAGAGATCACCTTTATAGCATTCATCAAATATAATATGAGCTAGAGATCACCTTTATAGCATTCATCAAATATAATATGAGCTAGAGATCACCTTTATAGCATTCATCAAATATAATATGAGCTAGAGATCACCTTTATAGCATTCATCAAATATTATATGAGCTAGAGATCATCTTTGCAACATTAATCAAACATCATAGTACATGAGTTGCGGGTCATCTGTTTGACATGACTCAAACACAATACTATATGAATTAGAGAACATCTTTATGTTACTAAGACCACATATTCTGGTTAATTTTTGAGCTTACGCTCTTAAAACCCCGGCTCGTACATTGTCCACTCCATCTGCTGGACTGTACCATACAACATTGTGCTAACGTAGGACTCTACCACCGCCTTCCCCCGAACCTTATGATGTTGGGCATTCAGTCACAGATGGGTTAGAGTTTCTTTATCTTACGAAAGGTCATGAAGTTATGACAAATTTACATTCCCCACATTAGATAAACTAAGAATTGGGAAATAAAATATGACGTTGATGATCATTAAGCAGATACCGAATTGTAAGGACATCGTATCAGATGTTGTAACCGGATACATTGTACGTTTCGATAGGAAATGATTCCCCACGCACTGTCACTTGGCATAATTGATTAGATGGTGTGTCCTTCTAGTGCCAAGTCGGAAACATGAAGATGATGTGTCCGCCTAGTGCCATGTCAGCAACATGAAGATGGTGTGTCCGCCTAGTCACATGTCGGCAACATGAAGATGGTGTGTCCGCCTAGTGCCATGTCGGCAACATGAAGATGGTGTGTCCACCGAGTGCCATGTCGGCAACATGAAGATGGTGTGTCCGCCTAGTGACATGGCGGCAACATGAAGATGGTGTGTCCGCCTAGTGCCATGTCGGCAACATGAAGATGGTGTGTCCGCCTAGTGCCATGTCGGCAACATGAAGATGGTGTGTCCACCTAGTGCCGTGTCGGCAACATGAAGATGGTGTGTCCACCTAGTGCCGTGTCGGCAACATGAACATGGTGCGTCCACCTAGTGCCGTGATGAAGATGGTGTGTCCGCCTAGTCACAAGTCGGCAATATGAAGATGGTGTGTCCGCCTAGTGCCATGTCGGCAACATGAAGATGGTGTGTCCACCTAGTGCCATGTCGGCAACATGAAGATGGTGTGTCCACCTAGTGCCGTGTCGGCAACATGAAGATGGTGTGTCCACCTAGTGCCGTGTCGGCAACATGAACATGGTGCGTCCACCTAGTGCCGTGTCGGCAACATGAAGATGGTGTGTCCACCTAGTGCCGTGTCGGCAACATGAAGATGGTGTGTCCGCCTAGTGCCATGTCGGCAACATGAAGATGGTGTGTCCACCTAGTGCCGTGTCGGCAACATGAAGATGGTGTGTCCGCCTGGTGCCGTGTCGGCAACATTTTTTGGAAACACCATTAATTTTTTTCTTTTTCACTTTTCAAAGCTGAAATCTGGTGGCGAGTACTTAAATAATTATAAAGATTAGTTTGCTATTTTTTAATGTAGTTATGAAAAGAGTCGCACTTGTTCATTCATTGAGCCATATGTGGCCCTTGATGCTCAAGATCCAGATCGTTGGTCTAGTTTATAAAGCATATTTCTTTTTTATCTTTTTTTAAAAAACGTTGTACGTTCCATGCATCCTGGTTCAATCAACACATGTATTCTACACCGCACAATTTAGAGAATTTTTTAAAAAAATTTTCGATCAAATAATATATTTTTCCATAGAGGAACATCTTCCAAAAACTGTCTCAGACGTCATTATGGGAAGTTTCGATACTATAACGACGACGATACAATGGTTTTTAATCTACATGACACACCATCTGGACGTTCAGAAGAAATGCAGACAGGAGATTCACAAGTTTATGGGTGAAGATGGCTGCGATGTTTCAGATATAGACCGTTCCAAACTGGCATACACACAGGCAACGATCATGGAAGTACAGAGGGTGGCAAACATAGGTGAGGATGTCACATTTGATTATTGGGTGTCAAACATAGGAGAATATGTCACATTTGATGATTGAGTAGCCAACAAAGGTGAGTATGTGGCAGGTTTTGATTGGGTGGGGAACATAGGTATGTCGCAGTTAATGATTGGGTGGCGAATATAGGTGAGTATGTCACATTTGATTATTGGGTGTCGAACATAGGTGAGTATGTCACATTTGATGATTGAAAAGCGAATATAGGAGAGTATGTCAGAGTTGATTATTAGGTGGCCAACATAAGAGAGTATGTCAGAGTTGATCATTGGGTTGCTAACATAGGAGAGTATGTCAGAGTTGATGAATGGGTGGCCAACATAGGTAAGAGTGTCACAGTTGATGATTGAACATTCCATACCAAAATTGTGGATGGAGAACGTCTTATATTAATGTATATGTTTGCAATCTTGTTGAATCGATGTGTACGCAACGGTGCAGGCATTTGACTTAATTGGTGTTGCGATAAATGAAAGAAAAACATAAGTCAAATTTGTGATTTGACGATGGAGCATATTTGATATAATAAAAACCACATTTCTAAAGCAATAATTCCGTTTCTGAAATCCTCAGGCCCCATGCCCCCCTGCCACACGTCTGACAAGGACACACACATCAACGGTTACTTCATCCCCAAGAACACGGCCATCATGACCAACATGGATTCTCTGATGATGGGACCGGAAGTGGGAGACGATCCAACAGAGTTCAGACCAGAACGATTTCTGACTGAAGACGGGAGGCCATTTTATCCTAAATGGTTCTTGCCTTTTTCAACTGGTTAGTTAGTTTTTCTTTCAATATTTTTTGTCTAAAACTTTTACAATGACAATAATTAATTGTAATTAAATAATGAATGTAACCTTTCAAAATGAATCCGTTTGCTTATAATAATCATTGAAGCTAATTTAATGATGATTTTTTTTTTAATTTAAGCCCTAAAATTACCATATATAGACATTTAAAGTTAGATAACACAACAAACAAAGTACTTGCTCACAATGCCATTTCTGTTTTGAGCCACCTATCAAAGAAATTTGACCTGCACCTATTTATCCCATCTAAATGATAGAGCAATATTCTGCATTTGTGGATCTTGTATCTAATTTAAACCACTTCAAAAAAATAGTGAACCGTCGACTGTTAGCTGATTGTGCCCTTCCCTGTGGACCCCCACGCCCTTCCCTGTGGACCCCCACACCCTTCCCTGTGGACCTCCACACACTTTCCTGTGGACCCCCACACAGTTCCCTGTGGACCCCCACAATCTTCCCTGTGGACCCCTACACCCTTCTCTGTAGACACCCTACACCCTTCTCTGTGGACCCCCTACACCCTTCTCTGTGGACCCCCTACACCCTTCTCTGTGGACCCCCTACACCATTCTCTGTGGACCCCTACACCCTTCTCTGTAGACCCCCTACACCCTTCTCTGAAGACCCCTTACACCCTTCTCTGTGGACCCCCACACAGTTCCCTGTGGACCCCTACACCCTTCTCTGTAGACCCCCTACACCCTTCCCTGTGGACCCCTACACCCTTCTCTGTAGACCCCCTACACCCTTCTCTGTGGACCCCTACACCCTTCTCTGTGGACCCCCTACACCCTTCCCTGTGGACCCCTACACCCTTCTCTGTAGACCCGCTACACCCTTCTCTGTAGACCCCCTACACCCTTCTCTGTGGACCCCTACACCCTTCTCTGTGGACCCCTACACACTTCTCTGTAGACCCCCTACACCCTCTCCGTAGACCCCCTACACCCTTCTCTGTGGACCCCCACACAGTTCCCTGTGGACCCCTACACCCTTCTCTGTAGACCCCCTACACCCTTCTCTGTAGACCCCCTACACCCTTCCCTGTGGACCCCCACACCCAGCCAAAAGGCGAATATCGGATCCCGAAACAGCCCGCCTGGAGCACTCGGCCGCTGTGATAGCACCCGCCCGCTGGCCACTCGATTGACGAGCCAAGTGAGGGGGGAGGGCTTTAAACTAGGAGCACATGGCCGGTTTTGTAGTGAGGCTCCTACAGTAGCAGCAAACAAACTTCCATAATTATTGGAGGTTACATTAACGATCTTAAATCGTTCCTCCCCATCCCGGGGTGGCGTCAGGCGCCCTCTCATAGGTCTTTCTACATATGTATATTGTATCAAATTGTTTATTTAGATTACACAATCTCAGAACTAATAAATGCTATTTTCGTTAAGGGATGATTTACTTCAATTTTTTTTTAAAAGTGTAAAGAGAGCAGACCTTCCGCCCCTCCAAATTTTTCCACCTCTCCTACCCCCACCTATTTTACCCCCACCCTTCCCACCCTTCCCACCCCAATTCGTCTATTCAAACTCTGCACTATGGCCCCTAATGCTTTCTAAGATGTTAATTATCTTTTTCCAAGAGGCTTCCCCTTCAGATTCCACGTTTCTTTCTGAACCGCGCTTAAGCAACGAGCCATGGCTGAATGAATCTGACACTGGTAAAGCCAGCAGATAAAATAAACACTGGGCTCATTCGGCCCGGGTAGCAAGCGTTGAAATAAAAGAATGATAAATCCATTCAAGTAAATCTCTTTGTCATGTCATGTTTTTTATTCCCCCAGGTAAAAGAATGTGCCCCGGAGTCAGTGTGGCCAAGAAAGAATTGCTAGGATTCGTTGTGGGTCTCTTGTCCAGGTTTCAATTTTGCGCCCCGCTGGTAGATGGGAACGAGGAGCTACCTTCATTAGAGGGGGTTTATGGTCTGACAAAGGCGCCCCAACCATTCAAGCTCTGTATTCAGTCTGTGTAGCGCGATGGCGGGTTCGGACATGTTTGTTATTAAATTTATTTAAGGCCAAAGTTTGTACAGCAATGTTATACATCAAATTTTAGCTCTTACGGTCATTGGAGAGATGTTGGCTCCTAAAGTATATCAATCGGGTACCGGTTTCCACACGTGAAATTGGTAAAAATTTTCGTAAAGGGAATCAATGACAGAAACATGAATGTTATCGTTTTATAATTGCACTTTGTCAACTTAAACAAACTCGGTTCACGAATGTGTTTCATGTATTCATAGTATGTATCAATATTATGTATTTATATTATGTATTTATATTCTTACCGCTTAGTTCTTGCAAAGGAACGTTAGAGAAAGTTAACTTTCATTTTACTATACGTGTTTTACTCGAATATCCTGGCAAAAGAAGATAAAAAATCCATTGTGTCTTATTAAGGTAATCATTTGACTTGTGGATACATAAAACTATTTCATCGCCAAATTTAAATGTCTTTATCTAATTGCAAACCTCAAGCATTACCAACAACATTAGCAATGCGCTGACTCATTCTTATTTCATGAACGTATTCCCAACGATACGCTTGCTGAATTAAAAAAAAAAAAAAACTGCTTTGCTATAGTACACAAACATACAGGCAATGTGAATCCTAAGAATAAATATATACTTTATGTACACTCTAGCATATAGCATCACCGTTTCAGTTTGTTTCGTGTGATTATTCAGTCCCAACCAATTTTGCATTTTGCTTCTAGCTAATATGCACTACCTTATTCACTATTCTCCTTTCCCAGAATGTTTAGCTTGATTTAGCTACTTTCCTTCTTACCTTTCAATTTTTCAGGTAACTTGATTTGAAGCCAAGCTTCTTTTTCACTTGTAAAATCCTTGATATTAACTTCGCTTGTCTGTGCGTCTGTGTGTTTCTTTCTACCTTTCTTTCTTTGCAGCGGCAAAATTTTCGGAAGGTTAACTGACCCACTTACCGTCATCCTATCAAGCCAAAACTTGGCACATAGACTAGATGCCCGTGTCAACACATTTGATCGATTTTTTTAAACACAGCAGTAACTGATTTTTAGAATGGGTTTACATTTTAACCATTCCCATACCAAATATCAGTTGCTACACTCACATAAATAATAAATCACGTACGATTACACAAATGCAAACAAAAATACGTAATGGAGGATTTATAAGAGAAACTTGGGTTGTTAAGGGGTTGTTTAAGTTTCGTTTCGTTGTGCTCCCACTAGATGGCTTCTGTTTACACAGCTGTTACGCTGTCTCCACATCATTTAGTGGTCTCCTTTGAGGATGAAGCGTCTTTTTGAAATGAACTTTATTATTATTATTATTATCAGTGATAATTTCCAGAGTTTATAAAGGCTGTCTCAAAATACACTCCTTGCAATCTTAATTAAATCAATAATTGAATCCATTCACTTTTGAAACACGATACTTTCCATCAAATCTCCATTAGTGGTATATGGTCTTTTGACCAGACCCCGTCTATGCAATTTTAATGCCCCTCGTTATTAAAAAGACCATCCAATATCCATTTCTGTTTTAATTCTTATATTGTCAAAAACGATCTATAAAGAACATGTACATATCAAATATTTAATAAAGTTTCATTGTATTAAATGTTTAAATTAGTTTAAATATAACCAATAATGTGTTTTGTGTATTAATGTGAATAATTAATATTTTAACAATACATTGGGTGAAATAATAATCCTTTGATTTGAAAGCTGACATTTTAAGTTATGACGAACTCTGCTATTAGAGGAAAAAATAATATATTATTTCATAATAGTCTCTACATTTATATTTGATCAAAATGTATAGTGAACGTCTTTTTAAAAATGCTTTTTAAATTAATAAACTGTAAATTAACAAGTTACATTTCCTGATAATTCCATATTTAAAAAAAAAAAAATTGAAAAACTCCACAAAGTTATTTTTGCACGTTACAAAACGTCGATGCTTTTCATTGGATTCCTGTTAAAAATATATTTCTATAGGAAAGTTGAATAAAAAAAAAATATGTTCAAGAATATTGCATAGAGTATTTGGCAGGATCTGAATATCGACACGTAAAGGCAGGAAAACTTGATGTTTTAAAGTAATTGTTTGTCTTGTTTATGACTTGTTTTATGTGTGTGCCCTGTTTATTTTCGCGTCCATTTTATATGGATATTTTGTATATATGTAGTTGTGCCTTGTTCATGTATGTGTTAACAGTTAGATTGACTTGTTGCTGATGTGTGACCTGTTGTTATATGGACTTGTCATATACGTGTATGTGTGTCCTGTTTATGTATATGTCAATAGTTATATGTAATTTTTTATATAGTTTCATGTGTGCGTTGTTATGCATGTGTCAAAAATTATGTAAACATTTTAAATATTTGTCTGTACCCCCTGTTTATATATGTGCCAATGATTATGCGAACTCGTTATGCCCCCCCCTCGTGATCATTATGTGTATCCATGAGATATTTTTAAAGCTTGTTTTAAAATGATTTTAAAATAAAAGATGTGAAGCCTTAAATGCTAAATGTTGCTCTGTGTTTTTCTTTTTTCATGACCTAATCCCAAGCTCAAGTCACTTACTAATGAATATTTCAATAAAGAAACACTTTACAATAACATTCAAGATACAAAACTAGCTCTCACAAATATGAACAGTTTTGTGTGTGTCTGTGTGTGTGTGTGTGTGTGTGGGGAGGGGGATATATTTTACAATTTGACTTTTCTCCTGCATCTTAGTATTACCAACTGTTAATTTTGAATCAACCGACGTATGGAATATTTGTTTTAAGTCTTACAGTGGTATCTCATGTAAAGTAATATGTGGGTAAAGCGGTATCTCATGTAAAGTGGTATCTCATATCAAGTGGTATCTCATATCAAGTGGTATCCCATGTAAATTGGTATCTCATATCAAGTGGCATCTCATGTAAAGTGGTATTTCATATGAAAGTGGTATCTCGTCTGAAAGGGTGTCTCATATTCAGTGATATCCCTTGTAAAGTGTATCTCTTGTATTTTTTTTTTTTTTTTTTTTTTTTTTTTTTTATTTTTTTTGAAATTCACGAATCCTTTACGGCTATAATATCAAACTATTTCAGGCCTGATCTGAATGCCTTCAAATCCCATGTTCCATTGCGTGCAGCCTTGACATCTTTATTGAATCAGAATTTATTCAATCACATTCCTCAAACCCAGCTCTCAGTATTGCTGTGCATGGCATCCTTCCGTCTTCCCCAGGCGATGGCGTAGCCAATGCCAATTCATCAGATGGCTTAGGCTTATTTTCTCTCTTGCTTTCTAAGATAAGTTCTAGTTTGAAAATGTTGTAAAAGATTATGAACAACAGATTCTGTAGTTCAATAATCAAACTTTTTAATAAATTAATATATGCTAACGTCCATGTCGTGATCTGAACTTAGTGATGTGTTGCCAATTCGCTTATATATGTATATATATATATATTGCTGGCATCTGTCCGTCACAATGTGACGATGGTGTGGGCTTCGGAGGACGGAATCCACATGGCCTGGGATTATTCTTCAAGGATTATAAGCTGGTTCCCAACAGCAAATCGCCTCTCTCCACGCCGCTGGATAACCCAAGGGGACATCATTGGATGATACAGCTTGGCGGAATGTTTCATTGTACCAAAGTTATCCGCCTTTCGGGACTCCATCTCCGGGTTTTATTTCAGAGTTTCCATCCAAGGCTGACGAGTCCCAACTACCCTGGGTGCTGGTGGTGTTTTTGCTTGGAGCTTTGCTCTGGCTGGAATTGAACTCCAACAACTTGAGATTTGCTCAGTTTAGACCACTCGGCCACCCAGCACCCAGCATATATATATATATATATATATGCCAGCAGCTATCCTAGCTGTCGACAGATTTTTGTCTATTTTTCGTAAACGTTTAAGAGAAGTAAGATACTTACAAGATTGTAATCTTTATGTGCGTGTGTAATTTAATATGTGTAATTTTCAAGGATTGTACTTACTTCTTCCCTGGCGTTGCTGTAAGGATTTAGCTTTTATTGCTGTCTATATGATTTGTATAAATTTAACATTGTTAGTATCACTAGCTTTGGTCTCGGGTTTTGTGTGTTTATATTCATGTATTGGTTTTCAGTCATTCGTTATCGCTTCGTTCTACTCACAAGCAAATCTTCAAACAGTTTAAACTTACAAAACCATATTGCGGTACTTAACGCAATTTTTGTTTTGAAATAAACAGCCCCTTTCTAATTTAAATGAGTTGGTTATAAATGAAGGACCCCTGGCTGGCCACTTAAATATAGCTTCACGCTGGATGGTCCTCTAAGTACATTTGAATGCTGGAATGCCCATATATATATATATATATATATATATATATAGCAACGCTGGATGACCACTAAAGTATAGCTTAACAATGGATTGTTCTTTAAGTATAGTTTAACGCTGGATGGCCAGAAAAAAAAAATTTCTAGCTTCACGCTTGATTGTCCTCTAAGTACATTTGAATGATGGAATGCCCATATATATATATATATATATATATATATAGCAACGCTGGATGACCACTAAAGTATAGCTTAACAATGGATTGTTCTTTAAGTATAGTTTAACGCTGGATGGCCAGAAAAAAAAAATTTCAAGAAAGGGATGGAGTTTTGAAAGATATATCTACATAGATATTTAAGAGAAGTCAAAACGTGTTTTTCTCGAAACCACTGAAAACGCATTACATTCAATCAAGTAGAATTGTACATAGAGTTCTGTTGTTCATACCGATTCAAGAAAGATATACATTTGAGAAAAAAAAATATTTGAAAATATACTTTAATGTTTAAACAACAGTATTCACCATAAAAGAAAAATTATCGAAATTAACCATAAAAATCTATTTGAAATGATGTCATAGAAATCAAAATTCGGTAACCCACTTTTGAAAAGCGACAAAAAACTTGATGGCATGAGAAGAAAAGAACTAACGTTAACATATCTATTTTTATTGTTAATGTTTGGCTATCCATGAAATTGACGAGCCATTTTTTTTTTAAAAATTGCTCTTAAAATAATTCTTGAATTTACTTCCTTCTCTGGGGCTAAAAGTATGACCACTGCGTCGCTCTTCAAACAAAGTTTTGCATGTGAAACTTGTACATGCCTCCTCTGGTATTCGGATATACCTCCTAGAAAATAAAATGACGTATCAAACAAGAGTGCAGGGGAAAATCAGAAGATAAGTCAATTTAAAAAGCATTCAACAGCTGAAACAAAACAAAATTTAAAAAAACAGAGAATAAAAACACTACTTAATTTTTGGGGAATCTTTAACAGGAAATAGTTTATATAGAAAAAACTGGGAGTAGCGAAGAATTTGGGGGATAAGGCTAACAGGAAATCGTTTCTATAGAAACAACGGGGGGCATCTAAGAATTTGGGGGATGAGGCTAACAGGAAATCGTTTCTATAGAAACACCTGGGGTGGGGCCATCTAAGAATTTGAGGGATGAGGCTAACAGGAAATCGCTTCTATGGAAAATTCTGGTAGTCTATATATATAAAAATGAATGTGTGTATGTCTATATGTCTGTATGTCTCGTATGCGCTCCTACACCATTCATGCGATTGCAACAAAACTTTGGTCAGTTGTTGTCCAAAAAAATGGCAATTTAACTGAATTATTAAAAACCTTGTGTTATGTAAAGACATTTTACATGAATCGATGGTTTCTTAAGTAATTAAATAACACACTTGACAACGTAGGTAATGAACTATGGTAATATCGTGATTTTAAGGCTGGAATTTATGATTTATGTAATTGAATGTGAAGCTATACAACTGAAACTCTCCTGCCAACAATGAACGTACCTATTGTGCGAGGTTTTCGTGCATTGAGATGGAAGAGCCTAACGTGTGAAAATTATTAAAGTTAGCAATATTGTATATTAAATGAATCAAATACAAAGAACGATATTTCATTTTGTGTGTAACCAAACAAGTTGTATTAATTGTGAAATACCATTGCTAAGAACAGATATCACATACATTTTTAATATTCGCCACAAAGCAATAAATTCGCTGTCAAATCAATTATGCCACCCAAACGAAAATCTAATGGTTTTCTACAACTCAAGAACGAAACAAAAAAATCATCACGCGCTTTGGAAACATTCAAGCAACGAGAAAATAGATTGGAAACTGCTCGAGTACACAATGCTCAAACCCGTTCATCTGAAAAAGTCGAGTAAAGACAAGCAAGACAAGAAACCGATCGAGTACGCACTGCTCAAACCCGTTCATCTGAAACAGTCGAGCAAAAGAAAGCAAGGCAAGAAACCACTTGAGTACGCAATGCTCAAACCCGTTCGTCTGAAACAGTGGAGCAATGAGAAAAAAGACTGGATTCCCATAGAGTACGCACTGCTTGATCCAGACGAACATTGCACGCTGAATTAAACCTTAGTGCATTCCATTACGATACTAATTATGATTACAGTCTTCATCCAAGTGTGGTTATTGGAAAAATGGATCAATTATGCGCGTATTGCAGTGCTCTCAAGTTTAAAAATGAAACACTGGGAATTTGCTGCGCGGATGGGAAAGTGAAATTGACAGAATTACATTCACCACCGGAACCATTATCAACGTTGGTATCAGGTGAAAAAAGCCAAATAAAAACATTTCTTGGCAAACATACCCAAGTAAAATTCATGTTTCCAAATGAAATCGTTCTGTACAACAAATATCGTGTGTGAGAATTGCATGCCAACATTTAAAGTGCAAGGCCAAATTTATCATCGTGCAGGATCTCTGATGCCAATGCCAAACACAGATCACAAATTTCTTCAAATTTATTTCATTGGAAATACTGATGTATTGATCAACGTTGTCATATCAATACGGGCACTAAACGAGAAACCGTTGCTGTATTGCAAACGTTATTTTTGCAACACAGCGAATGAATTCAAATGTTTAGAATTGCACTTGAAAAGATGCCGACTGATGACTACAAAGTCATAGTTAGAGCAGACGAAACCCCTGTCGGCCAACACGAAAGACAATACAATGCACCAACAATTGATGAAGTGGCGATCGTTATAGTTGGCGAAGAATTTAACTCACGTGATATAATTCTTCATCGCAGAAGTGGCGATGTTCAGCGAGTCTCAGAAACTCATCGCTCATACGATGGATTGCAATATCCTTTTTTTATTTTGGCAAGGAGAAGATGGATATCATTTTAACATAAAACTGAGAAATCCACAGACAGATGAGGAATCGAATAAGAAAGTCAGCGCCATGAAATACTATTCATATCGATTGATGATCCTTGAGAGTGCCGAAATTCATATCTTGAAATGTCGGCAATTATTCCATCAATACATTGTTTATATGTATGCGAAAATCGAAGCCGAACGACTCCTCTACATTCGATTAAATCAAAGCAAGTTAAGTTCCGAAGAGTACATTCATTTACGTGATGCAATTGTAAATGATTGCAATGTGAATCCAAAGGAATTGAGAAAATGG